AGCCTTGCTTTCTCAAAAGTTGTTCTCATCCAGGCACCAGTGGACTGCAGTTTCCACCTCGCGTCGGTCTTATCAACACCCTCAGCGGGAGTCTATGTGAAATTGAATGGAAACGTCAGTTCAACTCATAGCATTGTGGGAAAATTCTTCTTTTACCAGTCCTTCATCACCTTAACAAAATTGTGTGAATACATCTCATATTACTGATTTACTGGTAGTCACGAAGACAATACTTAATGCGAAAAATAATACGAGGTAATTATGAAAATGTGAATACTGGCAAAACTTAAATTGACATTATGAGACCATGCAAGTTGCGTGGGAGCAAAAAGTAAAATAGTGAAACAGTGGAAGCGAGACGTCACAGATTCCCTCCAGCAGTCCTCTCCTCGTGCTCCCTAACGAAAGTCCATCAACTCAGCCGGTCACTGAAGTATGACGAAAGAAATGATAAATTCGCGGCTTCGAGGCTGGGATGTGAATCTGGCCATGTTTTGTCGATTCGGTTGCCAAGACGTTGGCTCCTCGAAGAGTCCGCCACATGTTGGAGAAGGCTTAGAGCCGCAGAGGGGCCTTCGCAAGCCTAGGCAGCCCGACAAAGAGAGGCATGCACAGACGGGCCTACACAGACTTACAAGACGAGGACGATACGGACGGGGGTATGGTGGAAAAAGTGAGATCTGCGAGCAGAAATAGAGGCTGATGGACAGCTGAGCCGTCGTCATGGCCTTCATTTGGATCAGCGATTCGAGCAACCGGAATTCGCAGTTGTCTGGCCCTCTTTTTCCGTCACTAGGCCGAATTGGTAGACGGTTTGTGCACTTGCCTGGTTCAGACAAGAAGCAGAGGGAGGGCGCAGATCAAAAGCCTGTAGAGAGAGAAAGAGCAAAAGGAAAGGAGAGAGAGAGAGAGAAATAGGGAGAGGGGGGAAAGCCGCGATGGGACGAAACTTTTTGTAAGAAAACACCGACCGAAGGACTGGGTCAATGTTGGGTTGGTGCGCAATTCTGGTTAGTTCAAGTGGCCTCGCAACGCAGTCTCTTTTTGCTCCATCTTGCCCGCCCCCCCCCTTCC